ACATTACATTGATATATTTTAATATAACATGTTCTTCATATTTGGATTAAGAAAAATGCTATCTGCTACCGTTATTAATGTACTTTATTCTCCCTCCCCTTCTTAACATCTTGATCAGTCATTAAGAGTTAAGTTAAGTTTAGATCCCTAGTTCCTCCTTAAATTTCAAGTTTTTGAGATTAACATTTCTCTTTCTCTGACTCTCCTGGTCAGAATACCCTTGAATATGAATTAAATAATATAAAATAAATAGGTTTGAGAACACCACAAGCAAAATTGCTGAAATAATTTAGTTCTTCCCAGTTGATTGTATCACACCTCTTTTATGATCCTGCATAGGATTCCAAGAGTCAGGTAGGTGGCTGTGAGGTAGAAATATATATATATATATATATATATATATATATATATATATATATTGTGTGTGTGTGTGTGTGTGTGTGTGTGTGTGTGTCCAGTAGCACCTTAGAGATCAACTAAGTTTGTTCTTGGTATGAGCTTCCGTGTGCATGCAGCTGAACGAAACCACAGTGCTCTGTAATTTATCACTTTCTTCGTATTAGTTGTTCTCTAGTGTTCAACTCAGGCCTCATAAGAATAATGTAACATTTGGGGGAAAAGATGCAATTCAGCAGTCCAGCACTGGAGGTCAAGATGGAGAAGATCTCAACAGCTACCATGTATTTTCCTCTTGTGCTCAAATAAGTTGGAACAAAGGTCAGCCAAACACTGCAAAAGACCAACATGCTGAAGGTGATGAACTTGGCTTCATTGAAAGTGTCTGGCAACTTCCTGGCTAGGAAGGCCACACTGAAGCAGACAATGGCCAGGAAACCCATGTAACTCAAAACACAATAAAACATGATGGTTGATCCTTCGTTACAGAGCACAACTATTTCATCAGTCAATGAGCTCATGTCCAAATCTGGAAATGGAGAAGAAGTTGCAAGCCATAAAACACAGATGCCCAATTGAATATTGGAGCAAAAGAGGACAATGGAATAAGACAATCCTTTCCCTAACCATTTTCTCATCCTGGATCCTGGTTTGGTGGCCATGAATGCTAAAACCACAGAAATTGTTTTGGCCAAGATGCAAGAGAGGGACACAGTGAAGATGATGCCAAAAGCAGTTTGTCGGAGAAGACAAGTTACCTTGTTAGGTTTTCCAATGAACATGAAGGAGCAGAGGAAGCAGAAGAGGAGGGAGATGAGGAGAATGTAGGTGAGGCTTCTGTTGTTGGCTTTGACTATGGCTGTATCCTGGTGCTTAATGAAGATGCCCAGCACCAGAACTGTGATCAGAGAGGGAATTAGTGCCAAGAAAGTTAAAACAATGCCCAAAGTGTCATCAAAAGCTAGGAAGTTTTGTGTCTTAAGAATGCATTGATCCTTCCCTTTGCTTGGATATTGATCTCCTGGACAGGTGACACAAGTTTCCAAGCCTGAAAAACAACAAGAAGAAGGTAGGACTATTTAAAAGCATGAAAAATGGTTGTAACAAAGTGGAACCATATAAACCTTTGAATTTGTCTGATAGTATTATTTCAAACAGTGATGACAGAGATCAAACCTTGAATTTTCTATAAGAATATGTGGGTTGTAGTGGATTTGATATCCCGCTTTATCAGTACCCTAAGGAGTCTCAAAGCGGCTAACATTCTCCTTTCCCGTCCTCCCCCACAACAAACACTCTGTGAGGTGAGTGAGGCTGAGAGACTTCAGAGAAGTGTGACTAGCCCAAGGTCACCCAGCAGCTGCATGTGGAGGAGCGGGGAAGCGAACCCGGTTCACCAGATTACGAGTCCACTGCTCTTAACCACTACAACACACTTAAACCCCTTTGCAGTGTGTGATAATTACAACTGTAACCATATTTAGTGAAGAAAGAGATACAGTATATAAAATGGATGCAACTTCTTCTCTTTCCCTCCTCTTGCCGTGTTCTGAAAGGAGAGACTGCCACCTCTTTCCTCTTCTGATTTCACCATTTCTCTAACTTTCAAGCTCAACTTTGATTTTTCCTAAATATGCAGCTCTGCATTTATTCCACATGTATGAGCCGTACAAAGAACTTTGTTTTTAAAAAAGAAAGGGAATGTGGCCTACCCTCCTCATTTGAGAACATCCCGTCAGGACATGGAGCACAGTCATAGCAGCAAAACTTCTCTCCCTCCTTCTTTTTCTTCCCGTATCCAGGTTGGCACATTTCGTTACACAAGCAAAGGGGTGGCACCTATCAAAAAGTATAGACACTTTTTCTAAATGAAGAAAAGACTTGAGGAATTCATTTGCATCCGACTGGTAAACAGCGATCTAGAGTCCAAGATTCTAAAATACTGTTCATCTAGATATGGCTGCTAACCTGTAAATTATGGAAAGCACCAGTTTGAGCAGGCTTCCTCAACCTCGGCCCTCCCAATGTTTTGAGACTACAATTCCCATCACCCCAGACCACTGGTCCTGCTAGCTAGGGCTCATGGAAGTTGTAGGCCAAAAACATCTGGAGGGCCGAGGTTGAGGAAGCCTGAGTTTGAGAGTGTGGCTGCACTCAGTGTTTGCTTGCTCAGATCATTGCTGGATTCTGAGCAATAAGACCTCTTCAGCAGGCCTTGGAAGAAGCCAAAGGGCCTAGCAAGTGTCTGAAGATCATTGGGGAGTACAATTTTTCTTAGCCTTTGAAGTGGCTGAAGAACTCATCTGACATGTAGACCATCTAGGTGCAGGGCTAGTGGCAGGAGTGGGTTTTCTGCATTTCCTTCCCTTCCAGTCACTGTGGTGCCATTGAAAAATCACTTTTAAGTGCTGAGCTGGTCACAAACAGCACTTTTAAGTGCCATCCTTCAGTGGGGACATTTTGTTTTGTCTTCTTATTTATTTATTTTTAAATTTCCTGTTATTTTAAAATACTACTTTTCACTTCTAGTGAATTGCAAAATTATTTATGTGTTAAATGAAGTGAAGTAATGATTCCTTTCTTTTCCTTACATCCCTCTTTATTGGATGTTGTGATTTGGGAGACAGTGCAATTATTTTCTCACCTGAGTGAAGCCTTTGTGCCATTTGATTTTTTCCTCCTTAATGGTGAGCTCTTTGCCAGGATCCAGCTTCCCCACTTTGACCCTGACATAGGACATATTTGGGAATGTGACCAGGTTCATAATATCAAAGCCAGCTTCTATTTCTCCATGTTCATTAAAAGTAATTTCTTCTCCAGCACTGTTGTTGAATGAAATTATACAAAGGGATGAGTGGAGCTAGATGGAAAGAGAGAGAGAGAATAAAGCAAACTAAAAAGTACTAAGATTCTTCAATAGCTTGTATTTAAATGATTTTTCTCCAGGGAAGAACCATTGCAATTTACAATGGACAGCACCTGTCATTTGGTAGCTTACATGTGAAGAGAGTGGCCCATCGTGGTGAAAACACAAAGGTTCTGCAAAAAGACCTCCCAAATTGATCAGGGAGGGGGTGGGATTAAAGCTGTTGTTTATTATCAGTCTTTGGCAAGTAAGGGAAGGAGTTTGAGAACATGTACAAGGCCAGTGGGTTTTCATATTCTGCAGAGATTTATTGGTCAAGGGCACACTGGCAAGCGCATATGAAATCACAATGCAGGTCATGACACCTGTTAGTGAGGAAACATTACCACTAAGAGTTCCACAATCACATTTTAATTTTGTCAGTCATAAGTATTGCAGAGTACGCTTAGGTCACTTTCAGACTGTCAGTATTTTGTGGAAGAGATTAATGTCCATACTGCAAGCCACACTGGCCTGGGGATACTGGGGCAAGATGGCACTGAGGTAGGAAGTGCTTATCAGAACTCTGCATATTCTCTTTCAATTACATGACTGGGGTTTGCTTTTCTGGCTTCTCCCCCCCCCCTTTGCTCTTTTTCTCTTTTTAAAATTCCTCCTATTGAAGGGAACGTAGTTTTATGTGTTCGGGCAACCCCAGGAATTTGCAACCTAGAACATTGTGAAGCTAGTGTCGTAAATTAGTTTTAACGAAGTCTAACAGCCTTGCAGCCACCACCCTGGTTTCCTGTTAACTATATCTCCACATTTTAAAAACTTCTTTTGAAGACTTTTAATCTTCAAAACCTTTTAATCTCTTAAAATCCTTTTTAATTCCTTTGACCCCCTATATTTTAAACAAAATGAAAGAGAGGAAAAATTGCTGTTGCTGAAGAGACAATGTTGAAATAATGCCCTGTTTGCGTTTGCTTTTTAGCCTCCTCTCTATTACCTTCCTGCCCACAAAGTAGCTGTAGATCAATCTGGACTGGATGAGACTGTGGGCTACCAGAGGAACTTTTAAGTGTATAGTTGCAGAGCTGCAAACCCATGCGCCATGGGAATATGAAGAATATAGGGTGGATTATGGGCTTAATTCAAGATGCTCATGTTGGTGTTTAAAGCTCCAAATGACTCAGGCCTCAAATACCTAAAAGCAGACCCCTTGACCTCCTCAATGTTTGTTGGACGCATCACAGGATCAGTGGCCAGCTCCTCCAGTGTGCTTGGCCTCCCCCTGGTGATGTTAAAATGCCTGTGTATGCTGCAGGTTGGGGTCCCTCAGTCTTGGGGGCAATCTGAAGCCTCTGCCTGAAAGACAACCTACTTTGTAAAAACCCTCTTAGATGTTGTGATTGGTGGACACTGCCTTCTTGGTTTTTCCTCCACCCTCAGAAGCTCAGGGGGGGTGGCTGAGAGAGGACATTCTCTGAGGCCGTCCCTCTTTATGCTCACATTTAACCCTTAAAATGTGTATTTTATGTATATGTAATTTCAAGTTTTCTTTACACTGTTTTTATTTTTTTTATTTTAAAATTAAAGATGTTTTTAGATTGCTGTCATCTGTACTGGATCTTAGGGTCAAGGGCAGCTATTAAATTCTAGAAGCAATAAGAATAGTAATATTTAACCAGGAATATATGTAAACACCACACTGGGAAATCAGGAGGAATACTAATGGCTGTATCATCTTGCTGAAAACACATCAAAAGAAATGTCACTTAAGATATGGCATGGACAAATCTGCCAATTTCAGTTATCTAGGTTTCTTATTTTTATAATCTTTAATTGAGTACATCACATTTCTGCAATACTCTGATATTTAAAAAAATAAAAAATAGTGTAAAGTTCTCCTAACAATATTTTATATGCAATTTTGTGGAAGGCAGCAATTTTTGCAAGCATTTTCTCTTAACAAAATGATTTTTTTGGTTTTTAAAAAATCTTTATACTAATATACACATTTTAATGCAATCTTCCTACTAATGCATAGATATTAAATATTGTTGGGTTGGAAAACAGCAACCCCAAATTTGGAGGAAATCAGATTTTAAAGCAGAAAGGGATTTCAAATGATAAAACTATTTGGATTTGCATATTCAAATTTGGATGAATTCTCAATCAAGTGGTCATCTAGAAGTAACAGTATAGAGTAAAGGCTTCAGTGAAAAGACTACATTTCCTAACAGCAAACATTACCTTCCAGGGCTCCAGATGATGAAGAGAGAATCTACCCACAGTCTCCTTTGTTCTCATGTTCATTCTAGCTGAGTATGTGATGTGAAGGCATGTGCTAGAGCATGGACAGCATTATAGATACTGTAGCTGTGGGCAGTCATGCTCATTTCAAAAAATGATGAGGGAAGGCTCGTCAGCATCTCATCCCCACTACATGGCTTATCAGCAAGAAACACAGTGTGGTTTGAAAGAGAGCAACTGAATGCTTGTTCCCAGAAATCATTGATAAAACCATCTTCACTTGCCCATGAAGGATTTACGATGGAAAGAAAATTTTTGAAGTTTTGCAACTCTGTTGTGTGAATTGTGAAGGAGATAGCACCATGGAATTTTTGTATATCAGGATCAAGCGCCCTGTGCAAGGTATGCAATGTGAAATCAATTTGGGCTGTCGTAATCCACACCTTTGTTGTGGATAATCTTTGTTTGTATTGAGGAAATATTCGTTGAATTATTTTGGTTGCTACTAAACTGTTCTTCACCCATTCAAGGGCTTGATTTTCTCCATATACAATAACAGCCTTGGCTTTGTTCTTCAGGAAAGATGGTTCAACTATTCGTACGTCAGCAAGCATTTTCAGCATGTCATCAGAGAAATGCACATTTTTTACGCTTCTTTCTGTGAATGCTGAACAGATTCCATTCTGGAAAAGCATTGGTTCTATAGTTTGCAAAAAACATTCTCCACCCTCATCATCTGTTGCAATAAGACCTACCCATGTCCATTTGAAATACACAAGTAACTGGATAATTCCTTTATACTGGAGACTGTCATTGGGAACCATGCGGTAAAAGTTAGAGAATTTGAATTGATCATTGGCTGATAATTCAAATGAGCCATAGGAAATCTAAAAGATAATGGCAGACATTTTAGAGTGGCTATAGGGGATGACTGTGATCTGAATTCACAAGTAACTGGATAATTCCTTTATACTGGAGACTGTCATTGGGAACAATGCGGTAAAAGGAAGAGAATTTGTCTTTCCCTCCAATAAATATCAAGACAATTAACCATGTTACTATAAAATGAACTGAAAATAAAATTAGAAACAATGCAAAACACACACACAACAACAATAAAGCGTGATTTCAATCAATACGAATAAACAGCCATGTCAGAGACCTATTTTTTCATTTTTAGTATCTTGCAACAAAAATGCATTCATTTCTCCCTCAGATTTCCAATACTGGGTACCTGTCATATCACAACAGAAAACAGAAATAGTTGCACTGTAAGCCCTGCTCCTATTTGAAGTTAAGTGGGTTTCTGACAATATATTTTGGAGCCAGTATCTATCTTAATAGGAGCTGGTGAGAACTGCATTTGTGAAGAGTGCAGTTGTGTGCAGAGTCTGTTTGCAGATTTCTCATTGGCATCTAGTTGTCCACGGTGAGAATAGACGTCTGGATGAGATTGATCTTTGTCCTGAACTAGTAAGGGTCATTGTATGTTGATATTGGGTATTTAAGGCAACCATTCTCAAGCAATCTTGTCCCAAGGTGTATGGGGTCTTATATTTTAGTTCCAGAATTTTAAATCTGGCCCAGTAGGAGATTGGTATCACAGACATATGTCTAACAGACATAGAATCATAAGCATGTGTTTGCTATCACTTTTTTGTACTAGTTACAGTCTCCAGACAAAATAAAAGTGCATTGCAGTAATTCACCATTGAGGATAGGAATGTATTAACACATTTCCTGATACAGAAAGGTTCCTGCTGTCTTACTAGCTGAAGTTAGATGCATCCATATACATTTGTTTAATAAAGAAAGAAAGAAACATCATTATTTGTTCACAATTTAATACTGTTACATGTTCTCATTTTACTATTCATTTCCTTATAGTACTCTATCTCCATAGTGTTCTTACTACGACAATATTCCCTTCCTCTGAGACACACAAGAAGAATCAGACATCATTAAATTTCCCTGTGGATATTCATTTCTATCATCATTGGAGAAATTCTCCTACACAGAGAGCAAGCCCAGAACTTACATGGGTGTACGTTAAGGGGTTCATGCCTGAAGCCCAAATTGCGTATAGCCAAAACAAAGTTCAATGGGTGCATGTGAAATATGTGTAAATTGCCAGCTGGCTGTATATCCAATACACACTGTTGGGACCAAGCCCCACCCAAACCCATACAGCTCTCAATGCAAATGCAGCTATTGTGTCCCACCATCCCACCCCAATACTGCTCAATATTCCTGAATCATCAGATTCTTCTTGGAAAGAGAGTAGAAGTGTGCCTTATAAGGGAGATTTTGGGGGAAACCCATTGCTCCCCAAATCCTACCTGTGGAATCTTGTAAAGCTTCAAGATGTTTGCCATGCATAAAGAAGTATCAGAGCTGAGCCCCCCAATCACTCCTATTACATTTTCCTGGATGCCACATTTGTAGTTGGGGATGAAATGATGTGATTTAAAAAGCAGACCTAGAGCGGTCCGATACGTCAACCTTGAATGGGAGTAGCTGTCATAGATGCGGAACCCAAGAGTGATATTGGGCAAGATCTTGGGATCATCGTTGATCTCATCAATCGCAAACACCAAGGCCAGGATGTGCTGGTAGAACTTGGTCACCACGCTGCAAATAAAGTGACTTGATATTTCATGAGAGAATTAAAGAGGACACCTGATCATTTTATATCAGTCTTTGACTGCTTAGATAAGGAAGAAGCACAATCAGGAAACTCAATTCTAATTGAAAGGAGGATAGTGTGTTGCGGCTACCTTTTGCTGGATTGTGATTTGAGATTGTTGGCAGTGTGTATGGGCTTCTGGGCTGCCCAGATGACAATGAAAGCAATGTGTTTCAATCTTGCTTTCCAGAGCTTGGCTCCCATCTTATGGCTTTGCTATTTTTTTTAATGCCTCCTGCATTGTACTCTCCCATCCACCCCAGCTTCATGTTCAGGGCAACCCATTGGGTGCAGGCTAAGAAATATGGTGGTTGATCTCTGAATAGAGATTTGAACTCAGATCTCACCAGTCATGGTCTTCCATGCTAATTGATATACTTTGCTGGCTCTTGCTTAACTGTCTAATTGACACACCAACGTTGCTCAGAAATTATCTTACAAAAAAATAATGCTAAATTGATATTCCACTCAGTGTACCTATTGACTTTTAGAAAATGTAAAGATGAAGGATTTAACCAATTTATAAAATCAATAATACTGCATAGTAGTAGAAACAGGGAGGTTTATCCAGCAGGATGGAAACCCAAAACAGAAAAATACCTTAGACAGAGCAAAAGTTACCTCAGCCACTCTCGGCGGCTTCCAACAAATAAAAACATAATTTGTTTGGACAGAGAAAACGTATAAGTCAAACCCAAGGACCTTTTTGAAGAGCTAGTGTGCTTCTGACATGTAGAGAAGGATGAGAATCTGCAGGTAAGACTGTGGGTGATGTGAAGTACCGTATTTTTTGCTCTATAAGACTCATTTTTTCCCTCCTAAAAAGTAAGGGGAAATGTGTGTGCGTCTTATGGAGCGAATGCAGGCTGCGCAGCTATCCCAGAAGCCAGAACAGCAAGAGGGGTTGCTACTTTCACTGCGCAGTGATTCCTCTTGCTGTTCTGGCTTCTGAGATTCAGTATATATTTTTTCTTGTTTTCCTTCTCCAAAAACTAGGTGCATCTTGTGGTCTGGTGCGTCTTATAGAGCGAAAAATACGGTATATCAAGAAGGGTTTTATGTCTACAAACTGTCTTAACAAAGTGACTTTCCTGACTAAAAAAACCCCTCTACATTTCCAAAGTTAAAAGTGTTACTGCTACTTTGCCCAAGTATTCTTCAATTCATCTTACAAACATACAGAATTGCTATCACTAAATTTAAGAACGTTGTGCAGAGATAGAATTTCTTACAAGGGGAGTTTAATCAACTCCTGAGAAGGATGCATGTTGAATAAAAAGTTGGGAAATACATAATCGATATGAGATACTATCCCACCGAGGGCAAGATCACCAGGGTCGTGCCACGCATGCGGAACATGTACAGAATCAGTTGTGGAGCACTTAACACAGTCCACATTGCAAACCATGTTTGGGAGCAGCAGCAACATGTTGATGAGAAAGCTCCTCTACTTCTAGTCTCCATGGTGCATCTTTTCACATCCCAATTGCATGAAGCCTGATTGGATGAAACGTGGTGTCAGAAGTGGCTCTCAGGCTGTTTCATATGTTCCTCTCTGAGGTATGCATGGTGCCATCTGGCCTGGCTGATTTCTCAGGCATTTGTGAACTGTATATTCTGCTGGGAAGCACCTGTGCATATGAACTATATGGCTTTGGAGGCAGCTGATGCTGTCTCCTGAAGGAAATAATCGTCTGCTTTGTCTTTGACCACAACAGCATTACAAAAGCATTCATTGAATGGGAACTGAGAGCTACCCTTTGATGTTTGATAATGAAAGAGCAAAACTCGTCAAAAGGTCAGAGCCCACCTCTCTTCCCTACCTAATTTTAGATGACTAAAGAACACTGGGGTACATATTATTTCAGACTTGCTTCTTGATTCCTCCCGCTCCCAACAGCCTCCTGAAGGTGAATTGATAACAGTTATTCTGATAATTATAGGGAAGGCAAACATTTCTACAATTATATCCTCTGAACAGCCTCTGAAAAAGCTTCTGAAAATTAATTGCTGCCCAAACTATGTTTCTTCACTAATTATGTATTTTCCTTTTCTGCTGAAATAAGTTTGAACAAAGGAGAGTCAAACAATGCAAAAGACAAGTATGCCCAAGTTGATATACTTGGTGTCATTAAAAAGCTCTGGCAACTTACTGGTTGGGAAGGCCAACCAGTTTTGTTCTAACACAGTGAATGACCCTTCATTATATTACAGTACAACTTATTAAGTCACTGAGTATGTGGCCAGACCTGGGAGTAGAATGAGAGTTTGCCCTAATTGAAATTTTATAGCAGAAAGGAAGAATGGAATAAGCAGTTTTCCCTTGAAGGTTTAATATATTGAGTTGAAAGTCGCAGACATAGCCTTTTGTGTAATTCGCCCACTCCTGTGGAATACTCTTGCAATAGTGATTCAGAGGGACCAAACTTCAAAATGTTTGTTAAATACTTTTCTCTGTTGCCAGGTTTATGCAGACAGTTAAGAAAATATATGTTGTTTGTTAATTTGTTCTATTTTTTGTGTTGTTCTTGAATTTTATTAGAATTGTTCTAAGCCACATTTATTTTTTTAATTAAAATGTGGTAGACAAAACATTTAATAAATAAATAAACATAAAAATATTGGGATGTTCAATGCAAGTCTCACAAAATATCAAATTATTGCCCATGGGGAATTGTCAGTTTCCGCTCATTCATTTAATTAATTATTATATGTAAGCAGCATGATGGGCTTGGTACATATCACATATTCAGTTAAACTTTGAAGACAAGATTCTTAACCGATCATCTAAAATTAATAAATCGTTACACGAACCTCAAAGATCACACCCAGAAAATTACTTAAGTGCACTGGACAACCCTAAACATCATTGGGCATTTTCCAGATTCCATTTTAATGTTCTCCCTTCAGCACTATTACAGGGCAAATGTCACGACATCTAATCGGAACAGAGATTATGCCCATGCAGCTCTGTTGAGATTGAATCTATCAGGCATGTTCTTCTACACTGTTTGTTGTATTGTGATACCCAAAGAGAGCTAATCCAGCCGCTACTAAGGAAATTAAAAACTAGGCTACATTATGAGGAAAAGATCAATTCAATGTCTGCCTCATCTACATAACAATGTGTAAGATTTTTCTTTCTTCAGCAACACTCTGTGTACATCATCTGAGGCCCTTCTTCATGTGCTTCCTTCATGTGAAGTCCTCCAAATCCCCACAACATTTTTTAGTGGCGTTCGAATCATAGCCCCATATTTCAACTCCATATAGAGCATTTGAGTAAGCACTTTGCTACCAAATACCTTGAAGGCAGGTTCAAACAGCTGCCCTCTCTGATTTTAATAGAACTTCAACAATGCCTCCATATGACACTTCCAAGAGAGGGGCTCATTAATGCATTCACCCAGGTACGTAAATAAGTAAGTTTGTTCTATAGCCTGCTGATCCAAGTGGCAACTATACTAGGATTGCCATATTTCAAAAAGACAAAATCCAGACACAAAAGTTGTAGCGCTTTTTTGGGCAAAGTTTTTTGGGAGGCCAAGATTGTTGAGCTTTTTAAAAAATCTACAAAGGGTTGCCATAAATCTGGTAAAGATAAAGGCAAAGGACCCCTGGATAGTTAAGCAACTATGGGGTGCGGCACTCATCTCATTTTCAGGCCGAGGAAGCTGGTGTTTGTCCACAGACAGCTTTCCAGGTCATGTGGCCAGCATTTCTAAACTGCTTCTTGAGCAATGGAACACCATGACAGAAGCTGAATAAATGAAACTTTATTTGCATCAGCTATCGTTCACAGCAACAAAAGAACACTGGGATGTACACAGAAAAAAATAAAAAGTCACTTATATAAAACACAGTTTAAGGTCCTGAATCAGCAATCAAATAGTGGACCTTATTCTGATTGCCCCAGCAATGACGGAAGCTGTTTACCTTCCCACCACAGTGGTACCTATTTATCTACTTGCACTGGTATGCTTTCAAACTGCTAGGTTAGCAGGAGCTGGGACAGAGCAACAGGAACTCAACCTGCCACGGGAATTTGAACAGCTGACCTTCTGATCGGCAAGCCCAAGAGGCTCAGTGGTTTAGACCACAGCACCACCCATGTCCTAGGACTCTGTATGCCAAAAATCACAATCTTGGTCTTAGAGTAATTTATAGATAGGCTTTCCTGTTTACAGTATGTGATGAACACCTCCAAGAGACCTAATTGGAAATGAGGGAGGAGCAATAAATCATCAGCATATATCGATATTGAGGTCTTTTTGCTCCTAATTACATGAGAAGGGGAGTTTGCATTGGCTAAATATGACACAAAATCATTAATATAAAAGTTAAAAAGAGTGGGAACCAGAATGCAATCTTTAAGGCATTTTAAAAGCATCATTAATACAACCATTTAAACCTAATCCGAGCCTTATTTCTTTGTTGCAGTATAGTTCTTGGATCAATAGCAGAAGTCTGCAGTCAATGTTGGCAATTTGAAATTTATCCCACAGTCTATTTCAATTAAAACAAACAGCAAGCTTTTCACAGAACAAAACATTAAATTGGTGCAATTTATTCTTACATAGGATGCAACAAAATATTCTCTCATTTATATATTTTTTCGTATCAGATGTCCTTTATTGTTCAACTCAGGCCTCACCACAATAATGTAGCATTTTGGAAAAAAGATGCAACTCAGTAACCCAGCACTGGAAGTCAAGATGGAGAAGATCTCCACAGCTACCATGTATTTCCCTCGTGTGCTCAAGTAAGTTGGAATAAAGGAGAGCCAAACACTGCAAAACACCAACATACTGAAGGTGATGAATTTGGCTTCATTAAAACTATCAGGTAATTTTCTGGCTAGGAAGGCTACAGTGAAGCTGACAATGGCCAGGAAACCCATGTAGCTTAAGACACAGCAGAACATGGTGACTGACCCTTCATTACA